GAGAGTGAGAACGTGAAGAAAGATTGAAAAGTAATAAGAGTACCGAACTCACTCCAGTTCAACATGAGAATAATGAGATACATCAAGACAATGATCCTGAAGAAGATGAGCCTGTGTTAGAGCAAAGCAACCAGGAGACTCATGATGAACCAGCTCAGGAAGATCCTCAATGTAGTTCTCTACCAGCACCAAAGTCGAGGCGTTCCTCAAGGGAAAGAAGACCATCCACTTGGTATAACACTGAGGAGTATGTTATGCTCACTGATGAGGGGGAGCCTCAAAGCTATAAAGAAGCAATCAAGGATATTCATAAAGAAGAGTGGAGGAAAGCCATGCAAGAAGAAATGCAATCCTTCCAAGCCAAGAGTGAATCCACTTCTTAGAGTGAGAAAGTGAGAAAGCCTCTTTGTGAGAGAAGAGAGATAGTCTCAAGTTTGAGAGTGCCACCATAGAGTGAGTCAATTTTGTAATTACATTCTTGTAATCCTACTATTCTTTTGTATAGTGGAAGAATCTCCATATTGGAGAATTTAACTCGTGTGCTCCCATTACTACCTTTAATTTCTAAGTGTCTATCTTAACTTCACGAAGCGGGAAAGTCCGAATTTTCCCAACACTTTTGCTATTTATACTCTAGCATCTCCGGCAGTTGTATTATATTTTATGGTCTCAGTCTATGTGCTCGAGAATTTTTCGTTAACACGGTCTGATTCTTTTCCTGCGCTAGTTTCACTATGTCTGGAGGTCATGAAACATAATGTGGATTAAATATAAGACAAAAAAATTTAAAATCGACAAAATCCTCATCTTAAGGGAAGGATTCACCATAACAGTTTGGCGACAAAACCCTTTGCCTTTATAAAGTAAAATAATACAACAAATAAAATCACTCAATTTTTTTAATATAATATTTTTTAAGCTTAATGTTTATATATTTATAGTATAAATGTTAAATAATTCACTACTAGAAAAATGTAATTTTCTTGTAAATTTTTTTATAAAAAGATATTTGCAGATTTTCTTTTGCAAATTTTCTTATGATAATAATTTTACAATTTTTTTTTTGTAAATTTATTAATAATTTACAGAATTTTTTTGATGAAAAATAATTTATAATTTTCTTTTTTCAAATTTTGCTACAATTTTAATGATCATAGGAAAAAAAATTCATGGTAAAATTTGCAAAAAATGTTATAAGAATTTTATCTTGTGTTTTTGCGAATTTTCTTGTAAAAATAAATTCACAAGTAATACTAAATGGTAGAAAAATTTCGCAAGTAACTTTTCTTGCAGATTTTCCTGTTAATTTTAATTCACAGGAAAAATAAAAAATATATATACATAAATTTATAAGTTTAAGAATTAAAAGATTTTCCTCGAGTTCCACATCAATTAGAAATAAAATAATTAAAAAATATATAAGTTGGGGGCAACACGCACCTTATAAACTAATTTTGTATGATTGAGTGTTAGACCTATAATTTACAATCTAAAAGTTTAAAAGGTTATTTATCATATGTTAAAGGTGTAAAAGCAAATTTCTTAAGGAAATTTTTCTGACTCGCATGTAATAAGAGAAATTCTAGTAGCGATTACAATTACAAATATAGTAAATAAAGTAATATTTATATATAAAAGAAAAAGATAACAAATTTATTATATACGATTAATTTTTGATTAGATAACAATATATAAAAGAAATAAACTAAACATAAATTATTTTCTCCTAATTTTTCAAAATAATTTCGTGCTAACAGCTTGACATCTAATTAATTATATTTACAAATTATTAAAGTTAATCTAATAGTTAAACTTTAAAATTAGCATGTCTAAATCTGTACGTTGTTATCATCATATAAAGTAGTTGATGATCCCTATTAATTAATAATATAAAGGAAGAGTTCTGTAACAATTTTTTCCTCCAAAACTCTCACAAAACCTTTTTTATAAAAAAAATATTATTTATAAAATAAAATAAAATAAATACAAAACATATTATGTGAAAAAAATATATCAAAATTAAAGAAAAAAATAGTAAATAAATTACTACTAAATATAAATTAAAAAAATGTATAAAAAATCAAAATGAAAGGAAAAGAATCGATATATATCAAAATAAATGAACATAATTGAATTAAAATATTTTAATAATTTATAATAATTATTTATTTCCAAAATAGTATAAAATAAACTACTACTAAATATAAATAAAAAGATAAATCTATAAAATAAAATAAAATGGAAGAAAAAACATGATATATACTAATAAATATAAATAAAAAAATTGTGTATAAGAAAATCAAAATTTTAAATAAGAATATGTTAAATTAATAATTAAAAAATCCTAAAACCCTAAACCTTAAACTCTAAATTCTAAAAGCCTAAACCCTAAAATTATATGCCCTAAACCCTCAGTAAGTTGTTGTAATAATAAATATATTTCAATAACATCATAACAATATATCACAATAAATAGAAAAAATATTTATGTGTAATCAATTATATTTGTTTTAATGGGATAAAAAGAATAACAATTTTTTTTTCAATTATATGCATAATCATTTGAAATATTTAAAAGGGTTACTAATAATAAATATTTTTTCGTAATTAATTATCAGTTTAATGATAAAATAAGAATATGCTACTAAATATTATTGTAAAAACACCCTAAAAACTTTTTTATATAAAAATGTTAGTTATATAAATAAAATAGAAAAATAAAAAATATATTATGTGAAAATATATGTCAAAATTAAAGCAAAAAATTAATATATATATATATATATATATTAATGAAAATAATTGGATTAAAATATTTTAATAATTACTAATAATTAATATATTTCCACAATAATATAAATTGTACTTATTTTTTTTTATAACCTCATTTATTATGAATATAGACAATTTTAAAATAATAATTTAATGTATTTACTGTTATGACATTATTACATGTATGATAAGACTACCTATTTTTTATAACATCAAAACCATTATGAATATAAACAATTTTATACTTGTCGACATTCATACATTTCATATACAATAATAATTTGATGTATTTATTGGTATGTGATTATTATTAAATACTAAATGTAATAAAACTATTACATACTAAATTGTACTTATTTTTTTATAACCTCATATTTATTATGAATATAGATAATTTCAAGATGATAATTTAATGTATTTAGTGCTAGGACATTATTACATACATGATAAGACTACTTATGTTTATATAACATCAGATTTAGGTGGCTTTGCATATCTACATGTGCCTATGTAGGGATAGTAGTGGCTGGTGGATGGTGGGTTTCTATGGGGATATTGGAGAGGCTGACAATCTGAAGGCTAAGCTTGAAGCCATTTCTCATGGGTTAAAGATTGCTCTGAGATACAACTATAGGAATGTGGTTTGCGTCTCATACTCTTTGAATCTTGTTTCCCTAATCTTGGGCCCACTTCAGGCTTATAACAAGTCATATCAAGTTATCAAATTGGAATTAATTCTTTCTCTCGGTCAATTATATATAGCAATTTTAAGAGTTATATTAAAGAGAATGAATTAAAAAATTTAGTTATTAATAAAAAAATGAAAATTCAAATAAATGCTATAATGTTGTTTTAAAAAAATCAATAATTTATAAAAAGTTAGTGTATATTTCATTTTTAATATTATTTTTAACTTATTCTTAATATTATTATACTTTATATCTATTATTATCATTATTATTATTATCAATTTTTATTTATATAATCAATTAAATATCATTTGACTCAACTAATAAAAATAAAAAGTCTAGTTTATGAATAACAAAAGTAAAGATAGTGAAACATCATTAATTATTGATAATGGAAGGAATACAGTGAGAAGTTATAGTAATTTGAGAATTTCTTTTTGATTTTGAAATTTTGACTTAAGACGAATGTACAAAAGGATGGGAAAGCTGCAACCAATCGCGTAAATGAAAGAATTTATCCAGATTGGATTGCAGACCAAACAAACTTAAAAAAAAAAAAAGTTATTTAAGCTAATAAAAAATGACGATATTTATGAATACCCTGACCTTATCTTTAGTGCTGTCGTGAAACTAATTATTTTGTGGAACAAACGTTAGCATTGTTAATTATTGAAAAGCGAAGGAAGATACCGAGAAGTTATACTCATTGACCATTTGATGTATGGCGAATGGATGAAAGGGTCGGTAAGCTGCAACCAAACGCCCAAATGAAACAATAACAAGACAAGCTTAGTCAAGATTGGATTGCAGAACAAAGGTCAGGTTTGATTGTGGTGTCACAATAATTATGTTGGTGAAATGTTTTGGCGACAGAAATTCATCGTATCCAACAGTAATCGAAGAGTTGTGTTGTAAATTTTCTCTAGCTGATCTTAAGAAAGCAACCAACATCTTTGATCAAAACAGACTAATTGGAGAAGGATTCGATGGTAGTAAAGTATATAAAGGTTATCTCCAACATAATCACTATGCCGTCGCAGTGAAGCGATTTAATGTGAAAAGCACTCGTGGATGGGAACAAGCGTTCAATAATGAAATAGAGTTGCACTGCCAGCTTCGTCACCCTAATATCATCTCTCTTATAGGATTCTGCAACCACAAAGATGAGAAGATTATTGTGTATGAATACATGTCCAATAGATCTCTAGATCGACACCTACAAGCACTCTCATGGAAGAAAAGGGTAGAGATATGCATTGGAGCAGCGCGTGGACTACACTACCTTCATGCCGGATTAAAGCGCACCATCATTCACCTTGATATCAAACCTGTCAGCATTCTTTTGGATCACAACATGCACCCAAAACTCACCTATTTAGGCTATAGCGTAAAGGGAGCAGATTTTAAGTCAAAACCTAAACCAATTCATTTAGACAATATTAAAGGTAATATTTTTATTGAATTTTATGAGCTTACTATTTACAAAGAATTTTCATTTTCATAACTTAAACTAAGCTAATACTTTCACTAATAGGTACTTTGGGGTACATAGCACCGGAGTATTACAAGGACAGTACCGTGACAGATAGATGTGATGTTTTCTCATTTGGTGTGGTTCTACTAGAAGTTGTTTGGGGAAGAAGATTTTTCGACATGATAAAAAGGGGATATTTTCTGGAGAAGCCCGTTGAGGAGGATATTGATCCGAATATAAAAGGAAAGATTGCACCAGAGTGTTGGCAAGTCTTTATAGATGTCACCCTAAGATGCTTGAATGAAGCAGATGAGAGACCGTCAATGGGTGAAGTAGAGGTGGAACTTGAGCATGCTCTGTCTTTGCAGGAACAAGCAGATATCACAAACACCGATGGTGTTTATACCTTACATTCCACCACCATTATTCCCAGGGAAGACAGACCGGGATGGAACTCTCACATACATTATATGCAGCGACGCTTGTTACAATAGCAACCGTAGATAGTTCCTGGTGGAGAACTAACATGTTGAAAACAGCAGGCTGATAAGAATGGAAAATGAGTTTCAAAAAAGATATATTTCTGGAAACAATTTGATCAGTGAGTAAGTTGTATAAGCAACCAAACAATTTGAGATGCAATAAGGTAGGAAGTTTTTTATGCAGACTTTCATATGGTAATTTATTATGCAGTAAAGGAGTTGGAATGCATTTAATGAATAATGATATGTATGGAGTGTGTGAATGTGTGATGGCATAAGACCAAAGTTAGTGTGGTAGTTGTGCTTGGAGAATCAATGATCTTGCAACGTTAGTTATATGCTGATGCTTCCTCTCAACAATCTCATTTTGTTGACGAGATTCAACTCATGATGTTTGGTGCGAAATGAATTTGGTGAGATAAAAGTCATGCATCATAATTGAAATAAGGCAATCTTTGAATATGCAAAATTTTTTTTAGAGATACTTCTTGGTTTCTGATTTGTTTTGCATTAAAACAGTCCGAGTGAATTGGGAAGTCATCTACCATAGTTAAAAAATAATTGTAACCATGAATAGAAGGAATTGAATAAGGCCTCCAATATCAACATTCACGAATTCAAAAAATTGCATGGAATATGTAGAACTATGACAATATAAGGTAACCTTTTTCTGTTTTGACAATTGACAAGTGTCACAAGGTGGCATCTTCTTTATTAATAGCTAAGGCATTGCAATTGACTTTGATGTCCTGTGGGTCAGCGGTTTGCTTTGCCTCCATTGAATGTTGGATTGCCACTAGCAGTTCTCCAATTGGTTTAGCTAAACCAATCATCTTGAAATCGGGTATCTGCTTAATGAAACACAAATAAAAATGAATTTCAAGAAAACAATTAAGAGTGGCTGTGAGTTTGGTGATAGAAATGAGATTGCCCTTAAATTCAGGTGCATGTAGAACATTAGACAAGGTTATGAAAATTTTAATTTGGACAGTACCAGTATATGTAGTAATGACTTAAGGTACATCAAGTGAGTTTTATTGAAACGAATTTTGAGAATAACTTGTCCCTAGGTTAACTTCAAGTGATGTATTGTTCTCAACGCAGACTGTATTTGCACTCCCTTGATTTCTTAGCTTGTAACAGTAAAAGTCGTGTGATTTGGGTTGGGGCAACATCCATATCTGGATACCCAAATTAAACTGCCTTTCTTGTTACATAACAACAGAAAAAGCCTTTCAAAAATGGATCAGTTAACATAATCTGATATCTCACATTGGTAAATTGCTTATTAAAGCCTCTCAAAAATCTAATCACCAAATCTTGCTCTTGGTAATCTTGTGCAAGTTTGCGGGCACCGCAGCAACAAGGCTTTGAACACTTGCAAACAGGACTCGGTCTAAAATTCTCGAATTCATCCAAAAGAATTTTTAATTGAGTGAAATAATCTGTGACTTACAAGCGAAACCTGGTATGTGATAAACTAATGCTTCTTATTTTAATTCAATCTTTTGTTTTCTTGGTGCTCAGTTGTTTATGAGTCGCCTAACCCTTTAGTTGATTGGAGATATTACAAAAGTTCAAAAAGCTAAAAAAAAAATCTGGTTTGATGTCACAGTCATAATTAAGTATGATAGTGCTCAAATCATTTCTAACATTTATTACTCGACTTTTTGTGGATTGAATTTTTGACTTTTTAAGTATTGGAGAGTTTGTATTTCACACAATCCAATCCCTCACTAGGTTGATTTCACATTCTCACTACATAACATGAGGTGATTCCATTATTATCTTTCATCTCTCCAAAACTCAACCCTTATACTGTTACTTTTGTCTTTTACTGTGTTTTCTTTTTTTAATTTAATATTAATTTATAATATATTTAATGAGGTGTCGGTTTATTAGATGTGTCCAACAACTCGTATTTAAGGCAGTGTCTACGGAAATCTTACTTTTCTTCTACTTTATGTGGTGAAGAACCAATTACAGTTTATCTCCTTACATTTGTGAAATAGCTCTAAATCTTGGTTAAGTCTGCACCATTTTAAAGGGAGTGCTGCCGCATCCAAAATCACAAGATGGTTGCATCCGCTTCAAGCAATTCCAAAAGGATGCATGATGGCACTTTTGAGCCCTTATAAAAAAGTCATAATATATAGTAACACAATAGCAGCTTACACATACGTATCATAGTCCTTTTAAAAATGAAAACTGAAGCATCATTAATTATGTTTGAGATAAGCTTATTAATTATCAGAAATTGGTATGTGCGCAGGTGTGGTACCTTTCCAGGAAAAATAACAAGAAATAAAGAAAAGGAAAATTTGTAACACACTTGTATAAATAAGTTTGAAAACTCAACAAGACTTAGAGAACAACAATTATAAAAACTTCATTCATTCTTTCTTTAAAATTTTTGTACTTAATTTGATTGTATCATGTCTTGAAAATAAGAAGAAGCAATAAGTGATTTCTAGGCTTAACTTTGTGTAATTGCTTGAAGTTTAAAGAAGTTGTGTTGTAAAGAATATTTGATTATTGAATTCTAAAGAGAGATTTGAGTAGTTGTTTGAAGAGGTAACTTAAGCAATACTTAAGTTGAGTCAAAAGTGATTTATGAAAAAATATTTGTATTAATTAATCAAGAATTAAACATAATTTTGATGGTTGAGACAATTAGTATAAATGTTATTTGTATTCTTTACTCTTAACTCTTTATCTGTACTCATAGTACTATTTTATTGTTTCAAAAAGTATTGAACTTTTTATAAATATTATTTAATCCCTTGTAGTGTTTTTCTTTCTTTCACAATAATTTGTATATTTTAAAATATCTATTTATTCAAAATTTAAATAAAATCTGTATTTCAAACATAGTATTTATTGATGTACATAATTTATTTTAAATTTTAGTTATATAGAATAAACATTTCTTATATATTGTATAAACTAAAATATTAGTTCTAATAATATTAATAATTCAATTTTTGTATTATAAATTTACCTAATTAATTATATTATTAATAGTATAATATATGTATTAAACTTTTTGTTATATTATATTATTTAGATAAATAGATTGACATATAAGATTTAACATCTATTTTTTTTTAAATAAGTTTGAACTTAAGTCTTTTTAAATTAAAAGATTTTTTTTTAAATTTAAATATAATTTTTTTATTATATAAATTAGGTCAAATTAAACTTTAAATAGATTAAATATAAATTTCTATTTAAAATAAAACTTATTTTCATTTCTTGTATTTTTATTCTTAAAAGCTTTATTTTTGTATCTATCTATTTCTATCACAAAAATATATTATTAATAATGATAATAAAAAATATACACAAAAGTTATATCATAGAATTTTTATTTTCCCTCAAAATTGTATTTGATGAATTAAAAAATGAGTAATAAAAAATATAATTTAATTCTTACAAATATGAATTTCAAATTTACAATTAATTTTAACAAATAAATTTAATTCAATGGATGAATTTAATCTAATAATTAGGGGAGGAGCCATTGAAATAATTAAAAGTATAAAAATTTATATTCAATTTTCATTGTAACGATGTTTATAATCTTACGTATCTTAAAAAACAAAATGAATAAAAATGAATTTCTGTTGAGTTTTGTCAAAATTGTAGGTAATCTGAATTGGGGCAAACCCAACCTAACATACTCCACACACCCAACGATCGAAGTGTTGCAGTGGTGAATGCTTTTGGTAAGTGACGGGTAGTTGAGGAAGCAGGTGTCTGTCATGTCACAAATTGGAACTATGTTTCTCAAATGCTTTGGCCACACAAGTTCATCTCAAAGACGGTATCCAACGATAATACAAGAGCTCTGCCATCAATTTTCTTTGTCTGATCTCAGGAAATCAACCAACAATTTTGACGAAGAGAGAGTAATTGGACGTGGAGCATTTAGTATAATATATAAAGGTTGCCTCCAACGTGATGACGCTTCTGATTATCTGGTCGCAGTGAAGCGATTTAAAGAGGAAAACAGTACAGTGTTCAAGACTGAAATAGAGTTGCTCTGCCAGCTTCGTCACCCTAATATTGTCTCTCTTATAGGATTCTGCAACCATGAAAATGACAAGATTATTGTGTATGAGTACATGTCCAACGGATCTCTCTATGAATGCCTAGAGCGTGGGAAACTGACATGGAAGAAAAGGGTAGAGATCTTCATTGGAGCAGCGCGTGGACTACACTACCTTCACGCCGGATTAAAGCGCTCCATCTTTCACTGTATTCTCAGTCCCAGTACAATTCTTTTGGATGCCAACATGAAGCCAAAACTCGCAGGTTTCGGCCTTAGCATACAGGGAGCACGGTTTGATTCAAAGCCAAAACAAATTAATGGAGACCATATTATGGGTAACATTTTTTTTTTTTTTTTATAATTACTATTATATCAGCTTACTGGGATGAATTTCTATCAGCTAATACTTTCACTTATATTATAGGCATACTTGGCTACATGCCTTTGGAGTATGTCATTGACGGTACGGTCACAGATAAATGGGATGTTTTCTCATTTGGTATGGCTCTACTGCAAGTTGTGTGTGGAATGCATTATTTAGTGATCTCAATGGAAAGGGAACTTCTGGAGAAGTCGGTTGAGGAGAATATTGATCTGAATATCAAAGGAAAGATTGCACCAGAGTGCTGGCGCGTCTTTGCGGATATCATGGTAAGATGCTTGGATTATGAACCAGCTGAGCGACCAACAATAGGTGAAGTAGAGGTGGAACTTGAGCATGTTCTGTCCTTGCAAGAACAAGCAGATATCACAAACACCCACACTGAATATACCTTATTGTCTAGAACCATTATTCCCCGGGCCTTTGGGATTGAAATGAAACTGTAATCCAACGCAGAAGATGGTGATATTCAAGAAATGTAGGTGATAAATTGATATTAGTTTAGATACTTGTAGCGTTTCTTGTGATCCCTGTTTCTAGCATTTTCATTTTACCATAAGTTGTCATTGTAATAATCTTGGATGCCAACAAGCCAGTAACCAAAATAAAAAAAATTGCAAAAAAAAATTGTTGTAATTAACCGAAGGAAGGTAGTGAGAAATTATACTTAATTTGACCATTTCTTTTTTATTTTGAATTTCTGACTTATAGCGAATGGACGAAAGGATCGGGAAGTTGCAACCAAACGCATAAAAGAAACAATATGTAAAGATTGGATTGCAGAGCAAAGGTGAAGTTTCTTTGTGGTGTTACAATAATAATGTTTGTGAAATGTTTTGGCGACAGAAATTCAAGTGGTACTGGTACAGGGTATCCAACAGTAATCGAAGAGCTGTGCCGTCCATTTTCAGTCTGATCTTAAGAAAGCAACCAACAACTTTGATCAAAACAGACTAATTACAAAAGGAGCATATGCTAAAGTATACAAAGGTTATTTCCGACATAATGATGCTTCTCATTATGAAGTCGCAGTGAAGCGATTTAATGTGGAAAGCACTCGTGAATGGGAAGAAGAGTTGAAGAACGAAATAGGGTTGCTCTGCCAGCTTCCTCACCCTAATATCATCTCTCTTATAGGATTTTGCAACCTCAAAGATGAGAAGATTGGTGTGTTCGAGTACATGTCCAATGGATCTCTAGATCAACACATACAAGCACTGTCATGTAAGAAAATTCTAGAGATCTGCATTGGAGCAGCGCGTGGACTACACTACCTTCACGCCGGAGCAAAGGTCACCATTTTTCACTGTAACACCAAATCTTAAAACATTGTTTTGGATCACAACATGCACCCAAAACTCACGGATTTCAGCCTTAGCATACAGGGTGCACGTTTTACGTCAAAGCCTAAGCCAATTAAAGTATATACTGCAGGTAATTTTCTTATTTTATGAGTTTATTTACTACAATGGATTTTCATTTTTGTGAGTTAAACTAAACTAATACTTTCACTTATAGATACTAATGGTTACGTAGCTACGGAGTTTTTCAGGGACAATACCGTTACAGATAAATATGATGTTTTCTCATTTGGTGTTGTTCTACTAGAAGTTGTGTGGGGAAAATAGTTTACGACATGGCAATAAGAGGAAATCTTTGGGAGAATCCTCTTGAGATGGATATTGATCCGAATATCAAAGGAAAGATTTCCCTTGCCCCAGAGTGATTGCAAGTCTCTCACGAATAATAGTTTGTTATGCTTTATTTTCTGTTGCGTATTTTATGCTTTCTGTTATTAGCTTTCTTTCTCTCTCCTTGTAATATATATCCACTGCTTTTGTCACTTTTTGCAATAACAGAATGTGCATTGTGCACAGTGTATTTTCTCTTGTCAATCTTACTTCATTTATTGTCATGGTATCAGGGCCTGACAATCATCTTTTTTCCGGTTTCCATCTTCATCCTTCTCCTCTGGTTTTGCCATTTTGCAACCATGAGTGATGAAGTTGATCCCTCACTGAATATTCATAGTTTCTTGTTTTTGCATCCCAATGAAAACCCTACTATGGCACTAGTTTCTCCATCACTTGATTCCACAAATTATCACTCCTGGAGCAGATCCATGCTCACGACTTTCAGTGCTAAAAACAAAGTCGAATTTGTGGATGGTAGTGCTCCACAACCACCTTCCTCTGACCGTATCTATAGTGCTTGGAAACGATGTAATAATATGGTGGTCTCCTGGCTTGTGCACTCTGTTTCTTCCTCAATAAGACAAAGCATTCTTTGGATGGATTTTGCAGAAGAGATTTGGCGTGATCTAAAATCACGTTATTCTCAGGGAGATCTTCTTCGCATTTCTGCTTTACAACTCGAAGCTTCCTCGAACAAGCAAGGTGACTTATCTGTCACCGACTACTTTACTCAGTTAAGGATTATATGGGATGAGCTTGAGAACTTTCGACCAGACCCGATTTGTGTATGCATTGTGAAATGTATATGCAAAGTTTCATCTATTCTCGCTCAACGGAAATTGGAGGATCAAGCCATGCAGTTTCTTAGAGGGCTCAATGATCAATACGCAAATGTTAGATCTCATGTTTTGTTAATGGATCCTTTACCCCCTATTAACAAAATTTTCTCCTATGTTGCAGAACAGGAACGCCAATTTTTTGTTTCTGATTCCTTAGCTGACGTTAAAAATGGATTTGCTAATGCTACCATCATGAACTCTACGTGCAATTTTTGTGGTCGAAATGGTCATACTGAAAGCACATGTTACCGTAAGCATGGCTTCCTTGACAAAAATGGCAAGAGTAGCTCTAATCGTGGGAAAGCTTGCTCCCACTGCGGAAAGAATGGCCATACAGTAGATACATGTTATAAGAAACATGGCTTCCCTCCTGGCCATCGTTTCTCCAATAACAATCTACATCTGCTAAGAGTGCTTTGACCACTGAGGCGACGGCCAATGAGAAAGATCTTTCTGCTTCCACTGAGCACCAAGAGATTCGTTTCACTCCTCAATAATATCAAGCTTTGTTAGCCTTAATTCAACAGCCATCCCAGGCTTCTTCAGCTTCACACTCAGCTCGTATAAATCAAATTGGTTCTATTACTACTTCTTCTGCACACACATCTCAACCTTTAGGTAGTGTTCAGCCTCTTATTTGCACCACACACTCCTTCGAAACTACTCCTTGGATCATTGATTCGGGAGCCACTGATCATGTTACTTGCTCACTTCAATTTTTCACCTCTTACAAACTTATTGAGCCTGTTATTGTCAATCTTCCCAATGGTCATAAGGTTACAACAACACACTCTGGCACAGTTTATTTTTCTTCCAATTTTCAGCTCACCGATGTGTTATATATATCTTCATTTGCCTTCAATCTAATCTCTGTTTCTAAGCTAGTTTCAACTACTTCATATCAAATTACCTTCACTAATAATGTTTGCTTCATACAGAATACCAGAACCAAGATGAAGATTGGTTCAGTTGATGTGTGGGGTGGTCTCTATCAGCTTATACCTCATCATTTCAAACCTCATTTTATACATTCTACCATAATTCACCCAAAATGTGATGTAATCCCAATTGATTTGTGGCATTTTTACCTTGGACATTTGTCTAATACTCGTCTTCATAATATGCAACAGTTATAACCATGTTTGACCATAAATAAAGATTTTACTTGCAACATTTGTCATTATGCCAAACAGCGTAAACTTTCATTTTCATCCAGTCATTCTACTGCATCACGTCCTTTTTCTCTTTTACATATGGATATATGGGGACCCTACTCCTGCATATCTTCCATACATGGTCATAAATTCTTTTTTACCATTGTAGATGACAACACTCATTTCACATGGATTTTCTTAATGATTAATAAATCTGAAACCCGTATGCACATTTCTAATTTCATTAATCTAATTGAAAATCAATTTAATACTCGAATTCAAACAATTCAAACAGACAATGGTGCTGAGTTTTTAATGCAGAATTTTTTTAATTCTAAAGGGATTGTTCATCAAACCACTTGCATTGAAACTCCGCAGCAAAATGGAGTCGTTGAGCGCAAACATCAACATTTGTTGAATGTTACTCATGCTCTTCTTTTTCATTCAAAATTACCCTATTGTTTTTGGAGTTATGCATTATTACATGCCACGTATTTAATTAACCGCATCACTACACCTCTACTTGATAATAAAACTCCTTTTCAAAAACTTTATGGTCAAACTTGTGATATCACTGAATTGAGAGTATTTGGATGCTTATGCTACGTGTCTACTTCCACTGCCAATCGAAAGAAACTAGACCCCAGAGCTCACCCTTGTGTCTTTCTAGGCTTTTCACCTACTACCAAAGGCTACATCACCTATGACCTTCATACTGGAGTCATTACAATTTCACGTAATGTGTCCTTTTATGAAAATCATTTTCCACTGTTGCAATCCACATCATCTGCATCCAATATTCCCGCTATTTCACCCATTTCTTTTGGCCTTCATTCTCCTTCTCATGACTTGATTTCTGTTTTACCCGATCCTCTCCAACACAATGTCACTTCTTCAAATCCTGTCACAACATCACATGATTCCATTCCTTTAGCTCCAGACTCTACTACTGCAAATTCTCTTCAACCAAATTCTTCTCCATTGCGTCGTTCAACTAGACTCCGCAACCCGCCCTCTTACTTGCAAGATTATCACCACTCTCTCACATCAACTTCTACCAATCTTCATCCAGGTATACTTTATCCTATTGAGAAATATATTTCTTATTCCCATTTTTCTAATGATTTTTAAGCTTTTGTCTTCCATTTCTGCTGTTTCCGATCCTCACTCGTACGCTGAAGCTGTCAAGCATGACTGCTGGCTTAAGGCAATGCAAGCTGAATTAGAGGCATTGAAAATGAATCACACTTGGACTCTCACTCCACTACCACCTAACAAGCAAGTTGTTGGGTGTCGTTGGATATACAAGATCAAGTATAATGCAGATGGTAGCATTGAGCGGTACAAAGCGAGACTTGTTGCGAAAGGTTACACAGAAGTGGAAGGCTTAGATTACCTTGCTACTTTTTCCCCAGTTGCCAAGCTTACCACAGTCCGACTCCTTCTTGCCCTTGTAGCTATTTTTGATTGGCATGTCAAGCAACTAGATGTGAATAATGCATTTCTTCCTGGAGACTTGAATGAAGAAGTTTACATGAGTCTTCCTCCCGGCATGCGTCCAACATATTCCAACCAAGTGTACAAATTGCAAAAATCAATATATGGCCTGAAACAAGTTAGTCGACAGTGGTTTGCAAAATTATCTTCTTTTCTTATTCAACATGGCTATCATCAATCTGCATCGGATCATTCCTTGTTTCTGAAATTTTCTGATTCATCTACTACAGCCATCCTCATTTACGTGGATGATATTGTTTTAGTTGGCAACAATCTTTCTGAAATTCAACTTATTACTGGTCTTCTTGATGTTGCCTTTAAGATTAAGGATCTGGGCAATCTTAAATATTTTTTGGGGTTTGAAGTTGCTCGCAACAAGTCTGGCATTCACCTTTCTCAGCGCAAATATGTTCTGGATATTTTGTCTGATTGTGGAATGATGGCCTCTCGTCCTGTTTCCACGCCTATGGATTACACTTCACGCCTCTCTGCATCCTCTGGCACTCCCCTTACAGATCCTTCGTCATATCGTAGATTACTTTGACGTCTCATTTATTTTACCACAACTCGCCCAAATATTTCATATGCTGTCCATCATCTAAGTCAATTCATGTCTGCTCCATCCACTGCTCACTCACAACTCACAAGCCATTTTTCGCATTTTACGTTACTTGAAGCAAGCACCCGGATCAGGCCTATTTTTTCCAACCAACAGCTTTCTCCATCTCAAAGCTTTTAGTGACTCCGATTGGGCAGGATGTCTTGATACTCGCTGCTCTATCAGAGGATTTTCCGTTTATCTTGGTGATTCTCTCATCTCATGGCGTTCCTCGTAGTTCATCTGAAGTTGAATACTGTGCTCTCGCCACCACAACTTGTGAGCTTCAATGGCTCACTTATCTCCTCAATGATCTGCATGTTTCTGCTCACCAACCAGCTCTTCTTTACTGTGATAATCAGTCCGCTTTGCATATCGCAACCAATCAAGTATTCCATGAACGTACTAAACACATTGATATTGATTATCATCTAGTTCGCGAGAAACTTCAATCTGGTCTGCTTAAATTACTTCCTGTTGCTTCTCCACACTAGCTTGCCGACATCTTCACCAAGTCTCTCTCACCTTCAATGTTCACAGCTTTATGTTCCAAGCTGGGAATGTTGAATCTCTATTCCCAGCTTGAGGGGGGGTCTCACGAATAATAGTTTGTTATGCTTTATTTTCTGTTGCGTATTTTACGCTTTCTATTATTAGCTTTCTTTCTCTCTCCTTGTAATATATATGCACTGCTTTTGTCACTTTTTGCAATAACAGAATGTGCATCATGCACAGTGTATTTTCTCTTGCCGATCTTACTTCGTTTCTTGTCAAAGTCTTTATAGATATCACCCTAAGATGTGTGAAGCATGATGCGGATGAGAGACCAACAATGGGTGAAGTAGAGGTGGAACTTGAGCATGTTCTGTCCTTGCAGGAACAAGCAGAAATCACAAACACTGATGCTCATTATATCTTATTGTCCAAAACCATTATTAAGCGATACAAGCAACGGGAAGATATCATACAAACCGATACTTATGGTAGCTTGGAAAGTCAGCCATTCATAAAAGACGATTCATAGGTAATTTGGTGAGCTCAAACCAAGGGTTTTACCTTTTTGAGTCGATGCATATTTTTCCAGCAGTTAAGTTTAAATGATATATCTCTAGCTTTTTTACCAGTTCTCTAGCATATTTATTGTATCTGAAACTGTCTTTGTAATTTTCTTGAATTAGTATAAATTTGAAAGCAGTAAAGGAATTCTTGTTTTGAGTCTGTTATTCTTTCTTTCACTTGTGTCTAAAGTCGACTCCATAACTCTACAAGACTACAAATTGATATAGAACTATAGAACACAACCGTATAAAAGAGATATTGCCTATTGTCTTCGATTTTCTTTGTCCAATCTTAGAAAAAAAAAAAATGAAAATTTGACAATAAAAAAATCCAATAGTACCTTGCATATAGGAAAACTCGTTCAGCTACCATAATCAGTATTAATTTTATGATCTTCTGCTTAATTCTGTCATTTGGTTTGAAGCCGATCAAAAGGTTTCACAAATTGTTAGATAGAGGGTTTTCGAATTTCTAACTTATACAGGTTTGTATTATCTATCGGTGAAAATTTTCATGAATAACATATAAACAGTTAGAAAATAATAGTAACTTGCTGAGATATGATCCTTTTAGTTGTATACTGTACATAATTCAGATGCTTCGTAACTATCGCTTTATCAGCCAAAAAGAGCAAAGGGAATCATCTCTTGTTTACCAGAAATGATTTAGAGATGCATCTTGATTAATTGTTAGCGAAGTATAGCAAAATGCAACCTGATATTCTGTCACAGTAGCTTCTGCCATATATTTTCGTTTTGCCTTGTTGCATACCTATCTTTGGATTTTATGGGTTCTGTTACTACTTTAGTTTCTATTTTCTAACATATTTCATCTATCTTTTATTTCTGGTTCTTAATTTATTCGTATTTAACCATTCGGTTATAGTTTATTCAAAACTTTAATGTCTCTGCTTATCTTTTAATTGTTCTCTATGTAAACCTTTAAGGGTGATCATGTGATGGACTAATTAATTTGATTATCAGTCTTAAGAGTACGTGAGATTGCAAATAGAGTTTGGCCACAAGCCACTGAAGTGAAATATAGCAGATTTTATACCGTGCAATTCACAGGTATTTATAGAGTTTATTGTTCACGAGGATGACCCGTAAATATCTGAGTTTCTTAAATGTTATCAGACGATTCAATACCAGGTGATATATATGGAAAAGACTATATTAAAAGAAACAAATTTTATTTAGATAATTTATATATCTTAAATGAATTAATTTATGACTTTCGATTGAAAGATATCTTTGGTGTAAACTATAATATCCTGAGTTTTTTAAATTATTAAAATAATGTTTTAATTAATAAAAAGAGATTTTATAAAAATAAATTAAAGGTTTTTTAAGTAATTATGAGTGTTTTTATTAAATAAAAAAAAAGTTTGTGAAATTATTTGTTATAATAATTAGGTCCTAAATTATATTTTTTTCCTTTATCTTATTTGTTAGATTCACTTTGATCTTTTATCTTTTAAAATTTTTATTTTTGTTCTTTATCTCTTAAATTTAGATCAATCTAGTTATTTTGAATCATTTTTTGACTGATTCAAAAATTGAAACTCATTTTATTAAATTTACTTATATAAAAAATTATTAAATGCAATTAAAGTTTAAACTAAAAGTGTTATATACATAGTGAAAATTGAGGATTTTAAAATATCTAATTTCATATTATTTTCTAGTTGATCATGGTATATATTTTTCACACAATTTTCACTATATTTGTAGTATTTTTTAATTCAAACATCAATTACGTTTTATGATTTTCAAATAGATGAATTTAATATTACAAATTTCACGTTTTAAATTAGTAAAAATTGTGCTGCAAAATTGAAAATAATCATTATTTTAAAAGGATCAACTTCATACAAATATAACAAAAAAAAAAATAAAGGACAAAAATAAACATTTTAATAGATAAAGAACCAAACTAAATCTAAAAAGTAAGACAAATGACCAAAAGTATAATTTAAACTAATAATTATTAGAGATAAATATGTGTTTCATTTTTGTCCATGTATTTTGGTTATATATTATGATTTTAATTAATGTGTGAAGGAAAGGATAGTTAACTTGGGATTGATCTTTTAACAAGAGGAGTTAAGTGTGGGATAAGAAGTTATGAGAGGTTATAATCAGTTTTCTTCTTGTAAGAGTACACCTGGAGGCTTGCGTGAATCATCTAGCATTCATTCAAGTAAGGAGAGTTCTCTTTATGAGGTGTAGGTTATCTGCTAAGTAGTGAGATTGACCTCAATTCAATTGTCAGTTCTTGGGAGAATTCATGGTTTGATTTATACATTGAAAATTTGTACTTCGTATGATTTGTATGTGTTTTGTGGGTTATTTGTGAATATGTGAGTATCTGTAGTGCGTGTAGAAACCCTTGATTCATAGAGGGTAAATATTAGGGATAACAATGGGATCCTATAGGGCTATGGGGCAAGTAGTAGGATACCTATCCCTATCCCATTGGAAAAAAAATAATTTCATACTCACCTCATACCGACATAGGAATCCGATAAGCGGGTACTCACAAATTTTATAAATATTCACAAATATTCATGGATATTTGTGATTTTTTTAAAAAAATAAAAGTATTACAAATAACTTTAAACTTGTATTATATTGAAATATTAAAGATAAAAAAAAATTGACATTAGTTTTTGAATTTGTAATTAATTTTAATTTTAAAATATTAAAAATAATATAAAAATACAAGATAAAAATATGGATATTTAAGTAATTTTATTTAACAAATACCTACAGGTATGGATACTACCAAACTCACTCCACTCCTGCCTTGTTTATAAACAAATAGAAAAATACTCATATCCGTTACTTGTGGGTATCTGTTAGTTGTCATTTTTACTTGAATTTCATGAATATTATTGTGTAAAAATTGGCATGCTTTCATTTTTTCCCTTTTAAATTGCCCAGGAATGTGAATATTATATATAAATATGTAAATTATGTTATAGAAATCCAATCCAATCAAATTATAGTAATTTTTTGATTAATTATGATGGTTTTGCTTTGTAGGTTAAGAGAAGAGAAATCAAGACAAAGAGAAGAAATGAAGTTCAAAAAGACGGATGGAAGAAAATATGTTTATCTCTATCAACTCAAAAAGGCTAAAGCTATATCAGAAGGGCTTAAGCCATTCCAGAGACATTAAGATTACAATCTGCCAAAAAAGGGCTTAAGCCATTCCAGAAGAGCTTAAGCTATCTCAATTCCTTCAGGGTGAAGTATTTAAAAAAGGCTTAAGTTATTTCAGAAAGGCTTAAGCCATTTCAATTCCTTCATGGTTAAGTATTTAAAAAAGGGCTATAGCCGATCAGAAATAGCTTAAGCCAATTTGTGGCAGTAAATGTCCCCTTGTTATAAACCATAACATATAAAAGGGGGAAGACCAGAGGAGCTTTTGGGAAGAAACGACACACTTGAACCATCTCTTTCTCTCTAGCCTCGAGATCATCCAAGTTGAAGATTTTGGTGGTGATTCCGACGTTTCGGGAACGGAACGACGACAATTTCTACTAGATTCTTCTTCTTCTTCTAATTTTGTTGGTTGGCTCTCATGGAAATGAGTAGCTGATCTTTTCCTTTTGGGATTGGATGTAACCTCTTCCACCTTAATGTAACTCTTGACTTTCACATATATGTTATGATCTCTTCTACTTATTAGTGATTCATTTTCGTTCTTAATGCCTTTACGGTTTGATCACTCGTTGTTGAGATTTTCGTTGAAGTATTTTTTGTTATAAATCAACGGACTCAAACACGGCAAGTATACCGGTCGTACAAGTAGTAAAAATATCGTATCCACAGGGATTAGAAGGTAAAATAAGTATTCATTGGCTAATTGTGACTAAAGAACAATTCCAATTTATAAAGGTATGAATTAAAGAACATAACTACTAGAATTGTTAAAACACAAATAATTTAATTAGAATGGGAAAGGGTAGGAAATGGTAAAATGGACATGTGAGGTTGTGGGGGTTAGACTTCACCAAACAACATACTAATGAATCTTTAATCTCTTGTTACATTCATTGCTCAGTCAACCATAAATTTACTCAGACCTAATCCCTTAGAGAAGGAGCCTAGGTGCGAATATTGAATATCAATCCCTTGAGTATCCAATACCTACACCCGCATTACAAATTAGGGTTCAAGACTACTAATGGGTTAAGCTCTATCCCTAGATACAATCCCCACTAGGCATATGTTTCAGAACTAGTTTCAAGGATATTTTCCAATACTCAATGAAACCTTAAATCATGCAAAGGGTGTTCAAGCCAAAGCAAGCATTAAGCAAAGAATCATACACAACAAGGAATGAAACAACACATATATATATATCACTGAAAACAAAAGGATTACAATAGAGTTTGTTGGTTACATCTAAGCCCAATACAATGGATAGAACCTCTCAAAACAAAGAGGGGAAAACTAAAATAGAGATGGAAGAGGAAGTGAAGAACCGAAGGAATGATCCACACATGGCCATTCCCAAGCCCTGGGAATCCCTTCCGCAGCTCCTGGGGGCGCCCCTGCGTGAATGAGGGAAAAAAGCCTCGAAGTTTTCCTTTTATACGAGCTTGGGGAGTCAGATTAGGTTTAACGCGCTCAGTGCATTAACCTGTGCGCTCAGCGCGGGGCTTTCCCTTGATGCTCACTTGCTCTCGGCCTCTGGCGCTCCCAACGCGCTCAGCGCGTTTCATCCAAAGACAGAGAGTCCTCTGTTTCGTGCCCGCTCAGCGCGTTTCCTGGCGCGCTCAACGCGGTAGCCTTTTCTGCTTCTTTTTGATTTTCCACTCCTATGGCCTTTTTATCCTCAATTCTCTATTTGAATACCTGCATACACAAAATAAATCAAAAAGAGAACAATTATTATGCAATGGTACAAAGAATGAAAGGAATTGATCATTAAATCTTGTATAAAAACAAGTATAATTTAGACTCAACACTCGTATTTGGAGCTTTGATTTAGAACTCGATTGGAAAATATTTTCTAGATCATGATTTAAAATGAATCACCTAATGATTTAAGTTGCTAGGAATAGAGCTAAAATCATTAGTCTTTAAAGGATTTTCTTAATGCAGGTTGTCCCTTATTTAAATATGCAAGGAATTGATATTTAAAGGGGAAAACTTAGAATCTCTTTACTAAGGAATTAGTATTGAGTGATTGTAATCCTAGATAATATTGTAGGAGAGGGATTAACATATGTATGCTTATTAAGTTTACAAAGAGGTGTAGTAGGTGAAATCCAGTCCCAAGCATCTCATATCTGAATTTCTCTAATACTTATTTGAATTTTCATATTTGTCGCTCGTTTTAAGTTTTATTAATTTTAACTTTGAGTTTCATGAATCAGATGTTGAATATGTGTGAATATATAATATGTATTTATTTTGTGCTTTTCTAAATTAATTGAGAATCAATCAATCTACCTAGTCCCTGAGGAGACGACCTTACTCATCACTGTTACAAGTTGACTCTGGTATACTTGCCACGGGAGCAACAGTATCCATTTATTATTCTTAGCGGATTTTATTCGTGGGTACGAACTCTTTGGTCATTCCTAGAAAAGATCGCTAAAATTAATGATGAATTGTGAAATTAATGTATGTGTTTGGTTAATTAATGGTATAAGAGTATGTTTTAAGTATCAATTATGTTTTTAATCGATTGAATTGAAATTTGTTATTATGAATTTTTCTCCTAGATATCAAATGGCACGTATGTGCACCACGTTGCATGCCCATGCAACCAAAGTTAAAATTTCCCCATGTAAAATAATAATTAGCATGAGGGTGCACCTACTTGCACACATGTGAAAATGTTCAAAATAATTTAATTAGTGATAAGTGTCTATTTTACCTAAAATATATGATCATTTTGACACTTATCTAACTTGAGTTAAAATGTTTTTTCTTCAATTTAATCCCTACAAACTTAGAAAGAATCAAAAGGTTGTATAAATTAGTATCATCATTTTTACTTATAAGATTTTACTCTTTAGACACTTATTTAACTAGTTTTAAAAGAAAACCTAATTTCAACCCCCTAAAATATAGTAAAACTCAAAAGGATGTGTAAATAAGTTAGTTTGAAGAGAGTTGATAAATTTTGGACTAATAAACCTTTATTTTTCATGCAGATTTGATCATGTCCCAAGGCCTCCAAAACATACAAAATTGGTCGACCAATTCGTATGCACTCAGTGGATCAAAGACAGAGCAAGAATTTGTTGTAGAGTAAATCTGCTCAACCATTTAGAAATGGTTAAGAAGATTTGCCCAAAAGAGTGAGAAAAATTCATTTTAATAAGGGCTCAACAGACTACAAAGAGCTTAGTGAACTGAGCTTTCTTCACCATGAAGAATTCTAAAACTCGCTCAAGCATTTAGAAAGGGTTGAGTGGATTGCTCACTTACAACACACTTTATTTTATTTTCTTGGACATATATAAAGAATTAGAGAGAGAAAAAGAAAGAGGAGAACAAAAACAAAGAGAGAACAACACTTTGAAGAAGGAGGAAAGCTTCAAGACTATCTGGAGATACAGATCTTGAGTTTAATCTTTTCTTTCTATGCTTTCATTATACATGGAGATTGCTCTCACTACCATGATTAGCTAATCTTTTTCTTTGTTGGAATTGAATGTAAAAAAACTAAATTTTTGACAAACATTCAATTTACAAATAATTTGTATAATTTATATAAATTTGAAAATTATAAATTTTCCATGTATAATTTCAGAAAAATTTTAAGATTATTTATTTGTAATTTAACATAATATTTCATTTTCTATTTTTTCTAATATTTCTAATAAATATTAATATAAAGTATTTTGTATTATTAATATAATTTTTAAAATTTTACCTATAAATTCAATAATTATTTTACAATCATTTAATTTTAATATTTAATGAAATTTTATAATTTTTTTAACATCTACAAATTATATTATAAACTCTTATATATATTAAATATGAATGACTATCTTGCGCGAAAGTGTTTTTAAGTTTTTCTTTTACATGAATATTTTTATAGATTTGCTTAACTATATATCTTATTTTATTTTTATTTATCATCATTATTTATGAATTAAAATTTAATATTTTCAAAATAAATTATCAATAGATAAAAAATAATTTTATGCTACAATATAAATTATTTATCATAAATTTAAAATATAACTTATATGTTTAAAAATATTTATTTATTCAAATTTTAAATATAATTTATATATTCAAAAATAATATTTATTTGTTTACATAATTTATTATAAATTTTAGGCTTAAATATGTTTTTAATCCCTCAAATTTAAGATAAATTTATTGTTGGTCCCTTAAATTTAAAACAATTATTTTTAGTCCCTAAAATTTTTAAAAATTTTATTTTAGTTCCTCATATCATTAATAACATATTTGAAATTGACAAATTAAGACAGTTATGTAATAATATCAATTGGATTTAATGTGATGTTTTCACTTACAGGGATACCAATAAATAAATTTTATGCAATAATATTTGATAAATTTTTTAACAAAATTTGAATATAAAGACTAAAATAAGATTTTTTGAAATTACAGGAACTAAAAACAATAATTTTAATTTTGAAGGATCAAAAATAAATTTACCCTAAATTTGAGGGATTAAAAACATATTTTAACCTAAATTTTAATTATATATAATAAATATTTGATCAATTTATAATACATAAAATAGTTTATATTAAAGGTAATATTTTATTTATGAACTTATTACAATGAATTTTCATTTTTGTGAGTTAAACTAGGCTAATACTTTCACTAATATGTAGGCACTCATGACTACATAGCTACGGAGCATTTCATGGACGGTACCGTGATGTTTACACATTTAGTGTGGTTCTACTACAAGTTGTGTGGACACACCTATCTTTGGTTCTTAATGATTCTGTTAATACTTCTGTTTATATTATTTAACATATAGTTCATATATATTATATTTCTGGTTCTTTGCTTAACCAATCCACTATAGAGTGACGAATCTAAAAACTTTAAATATGAGAGACAATATTTATTTATATATTTATAGTATTAAAAATTTTATATATAA